ATGGCAGTGGCAACTAGCCAGGTGGGAAGGGGAGCGTGCGTGTCCTAGGCCAGAAGTGAGTGGCATGGCACAGGGGATTATTTATGGTCACCTATCTACATTATGGCTCAGTTCCTGCAGTAGCCTTTGAGATGATACAGATGGGGAAGCTGAGTCTCATAGGGGTTAACTTATCTGAGGTCACCCAGCGAGTGAGAGGCACAGAAGAGGTTCAATCCCAGATCTGTGCGATTTCAGCCCTCAGACTTCTTCCACCACACCGTGCCTGTTCTTTTGAGGAATGAGTCTCAAGTCCCCTCTCCTCATTCCTTTCTGATTTGAATGATTGAACTGCCCTCTCTCAGCCTCTTTCCCGACTGAAACAGTCTGAATTCATAGCAGCAGCCCTGCATCCTCTGGGTCAGTTCTCTGGATCCACTCCAGTTCTGTGATGAATCAGAGGGGCAGCAACTCGCCCTGTCCTGGCTCTGATAACCATCAGCCATTCCTGAAGCTTCACAGGTGGCTCCAGCCGCTGTCCAAGCAGGGGATGAGGAGGAGGCCCAGGCTGCAGGAGGTGCTGGGGAGGGAGAAGAAGGGGTGGGAAGATCCCAGGAGAAGAGAGACCCAGCACATTCAAGTGTCATCTCAACCTGATGGGACCAGAGGATCTCCACTTCTCCCACACACGCTTTCCCTCCCACTTAAAGGAAGAGCCAGGGTGCTGGCTGAGAACAACCATCAATATCCCTTACAGCCCTTCCCAGTCCACGAAGCACTTCCTGGTTCAGGGTTTCCCTCGGTCCTCCAACAGCCATAATGTCATGGGTGGGAGGCTTTCAAATTAGGACCGGATCTGGTCCTGGCTCTACCATTATCAGCATCTCTTTAACAGCTGAGCTTTAAGTTGACTGAGTTGCTTCAGATTTCACAGGCTGGCGGTCGTGGAGCCAGAATGTGCCCCTGTCTAAAGGAGGTAGGGAGATGCAGTGTCTGCAGGGTTCGGGTTAGGCACTGGTTAAAGGCCTGCCTAGGAATCTGCTTGTTTCTGTGTACTTAGGGTCTGTTTGTTTTTCTTCAGTTTCCTAGTAAAAGACTTTTTCGAAAAATACCTCCTTTTTTGGCTGCACTGAAGGGGAACAAGACTCACCTACTCATCTATACCTTGGTCCAGGCTAGATATTCTAGGGCCAGGTGTGGAGCAGCCCAACGAGGGTTCAGACTGGATTGTCAGCTCCTTCCTGCTTTGGGCAGGGACCTGACAGCCTGTCTGGCGGGCTTGGAAGTGGACTTGAAGTCTCCAGCCAGCAGGGGGTGGTGGGCAGAGCTGCCGTTTCCAGCTGTGGCGTTGTCAGCTCTAGCAGTGTGATTCCAGCCTTTCTCACCCTCTCCCCTACAGAAAGCTGCCTACAGTGTATAGGTCCCCAGCAGAGCAACAGAGTGGAGCTTAGCTCAGCCAGAGACAGTCAGTGATGTTTTGTGGGGAAAGGGTGGGCTCAAGGCACCGAGGCCTGTTGGCCCAGGAAGTACTGGGTCTAGGCCAGCATGGGGTGAGTGAAATGGAGAGAGGTGTGTGCGACTGGCGGAGGGGCCTAGTGACACACACACACACACACACACACACACACACACACACACACACACACTGGCCACCATAGGCAAGTCTCTGCCGTGAGCCTTGGTCTCCTTATCTGTAAAGTGAGGATAAACCGTACACCTGCCTCTCAGTTGGCTTATCCAACAGCATATATTCATGCCCCATTATTTGCTTGTGTCTCTGACATGGGATAAAGCTGGTGGTGGTATTCAGTGTGGGCCTGGCCCTCTGGTGATAGGTGCTCAGTAAACGGTAGCTATGCTGCATATCAACGATCAGCGCAGTTTCCCCGAGGGGCCTGGTCCTTTCAGGGAGGCCATATCCCTCTCCCCAGTAGAAGCTCCCAGGAGGCTGCAGTTTCTGATGCTGCAGCAAAGTCCAGGCACCTAAGTAGGTGAGGGTAGAGGGTTAACCTCAGAGGAGATGCTCCCTCGTCAAAAGCTGAGGAAAGTGGAATTAGGCTGGCATGAAGAAGTCGGGATGCAGGAGTAGGGCCTTGCCTGCTCTCCCAGTGGTTGCTGGGTTGTGTGAAGGAGTTACTGGTCCAGGACCAGTCTGTGCCAAAGTTGGTTCTGATCCCCTCCTGTCCTCTTGGCACCATCTCCCCATTTAGCTATCTCTGGGCCTCTGTTTCTTCTCCTGGACCCCTTTGCCTTCTCGGTTGTGGGGTCCCCACCTGGGGGGACAGGTAGTTGCTGATGGGAGTAGAGTCTGGCCCTGCTCCAGGGTTGTACATAGCCTGTTCCCTTGCTGGACCGTGAACCCGTGGAGGGCAGGGTCCAGGTCCGAATTGCCTCTGGGCTCCCGTGTCCAACATGGAGCCTGTAATCCTTGGGTTCTAACCAGAGGGCTCAGGCCCTTCTGGCCTCAATTACTGGGCTGGTCAAGGCAACACAAGCCTGAGTTGGCCCTTCTCCCTCACAGGTGGCATGGGTGGGGGTAGGGGTGGGTACTGAATTAGAGTATATGGCTCCTTGTGTCCAGCTTCCTCTTCCTGGCTGGCCCAAGGCTTGGGAACAGTGGCTGCCTTTCTGGGGCAGTCAGGGCGCCTGGCCAGAGTATGCCTGTCGGGCATGGTCAGCTCTTCAGCAAGCCTCGGTCCTCCTCTTAACCCAGAGAAGGCCCCGGGTTATTGGTGTTGTTCTTGGCGGACCACCGGGCCCCTCAGCAAACAGGCAGGCGAGTGTGCACCCGGCCTGGGCCTGTTTGTGTTGGCCTCGCCAGGCGGGGGATTAGCTCAGCTGGGCTGCTAATTGCCTCCGAAGTGCCGGCCGGGATGCTGACAAGGGCTGGGCCTCTAGGCCCCTCCTTCCCAGCAGGCACTATGCCAGGCTAGGGGGCCTGGCCCAGGAGGGCCCCTTTTCTCCCCTGTCAGCGCCTGCTTGGCCTAGACCCTTGAGATGCGGGCAGGGGGTCACTAGGGCTGGCGGCTCAGGAAGGAGTGGGGGGAGATGCTTATGAAGTCATCGCCTGGGCCAGGCCACACTCCCCCCCCAACCCCCCACATCCCTTAGACATCCCCTCATACCCCCCTTCTTGAGTCAGACGCCTTCTCCTGAAGCTCAGCACTTTCTCCTCTTACTAGGAAGCTGCTGGGCTCTTCTGCCCAGATGCCCTCCGGCTCCTCAGTGCCTTCCTCCCTTCTCATGCCTTTCTCTCCCTCTGTGCCTGTGTCTGTGCTCCCACCCTCTGCTGCTTCCTCACTCCATTTCTCAGCCTGTCTTACTTAGCTCCTCTCAGTTGCCTAGACCCTATACTTCCTTTTATACCTTGCTGCGATCTCTGGCCCTTCCTTGGCCCAAGATCTGCCTTGAACCTGGTCTTGGGTCTTCCTAGACTTCCCTTGGACCATTGGCTGCCAAGAAGGGGCTGAGAAGGAGGTCTGCTTTATCACCTAGGCCCCAGACCTCAGCCCCCAGACCCCAGCTGTCAAAGATGGATCTGCATGTAGTCTCTGAGCTGACCCACCCCACCTGGCAGTTCTGAAAGCCATCGTCTTTCCAGGCGGAGCCTGGCCCCACTGCATATGCTTCCTACAGCTCTGGCTCCCACTCCACTTCTGACTGGGCCCTCCTTGTCCCCTGATCCCTGTCCTAGCCCTGCTTCTTGCCCATTGGACCTCGGTCCAGCTTCTCTTCTTGGTGCCAGGGGCAGCTTTGCCATTGCCTTGCTTTCTGCTGCCTGGGTATCCCACCCTGGGATTCTCTGTCCCTGTTTCCAGCCTAGGATCTCTGCCCCGAGATATCTGTCTGCTTTTGATTTCTAGGATGAGGCCAAAGGAGGACCACAGCCTTGAGGTACCTGCCTTCAACTCTTACCCAATTCCCCATTGTCTCTGCCTTCCTCGTTCTGGCCCCTCCATCTTAGAGCTATTTTAACCGCCTCCTGCACTCCTGGAAAGAGGATAATAGTAATATGTCCAATAATAGTTGCCATTTGTTAAGCTTTATAAGTGTTATTTTATTTAACATCCCCAGTGAATAGGTTCTGTTATTATTTAGCCCCATTTGGAACTGGGGCAAAGGGGTAGCACTATATTATTAATGAAGAAAGTGAGTCCCAGTGAGAGACATGAGTTGTCCAAGGTTCCATATAGTGAAGGGATGGCAGCCCCTGTCCGTCTGATTGCAAGGCTTGGCTCCTTTTCACAGTTCTAAACAGTGGTTGGATGGACACCTTCATTTCCTCGCTCTGCCATCGTGGACTCAATTACCAGTCTCTCCTGCGTGCGCTCCCCCCCCTCCCGCCCAACCTGGACCCTGATTTGAGGAAAGAGTGTTCTTTTCTATCCATCTGTCGTCTAGATCCCATCCCTTCCCTCCGACATTATTCCCCAGCTTCCTGAAAGTACTTTGCATCAGCCCTCTACTATCTCACCAAACCGTTGGAAAGCCGATCAGTTCCTAGCCGGGGGTGAATTGGCTGCAGTGGGGTGGTGTGTGGGGCGACAGGCCTGCCCACCCTGGTGAGGATGGGGATTTCACTGGAGTGAGGTGTCCCCATCAGCCGTGACTTGAGTTATAGGGCATTTTCTATCCAGACGCCTCATTTTGGCTCGGCTCCAATCATGGCGTTTACTTCGAGCCACAGGCTTTGAACTTCTGTGTCCTTGACAGGAACTAAGTTCTTGTCCATTGGTCCCCTGTCTCCATTGGCACCCACTTCACTAGAACCTTCTCTGGCATTGTGTTAGTCCTTCTCCTCATCACGCTCAAGAAGCTGACCCTGGCTCAGAGAGATGCAGATATGGCTTCTGTGTTAAAAGCGACGTGCAGAGAGCCTGCCGGTGGGTGCCACCAACCCAGTTATTCAGGTGGAAAGAGGGCAAACCGGTGCCCATTTCTAGAGATTGCTACCCTTTGCTTTTCCCTTTCCTTTCCCAAGTCTCTCTTCTCCCTCTTCTACAAAAAAGTCACTACCACAATTGCAAGATAAAGAAATAATCGTTTTATCGTGCATCAGACTATTTCATGGGGATGTCACAACGGCAAGGAGCCTCGTATAAAAATCGGAGGATGGGACGGGGCAGCCGAGGGGCAGCAGCATCCAGAGCCAGGGCCTCTCCAGCCCGAGGCCGAGGAGGACATCCCCTTTGCCTGTGGCAAGATTAGTGGAGAAGGTTTTGGGCAGGACTTGGACCCTCTGGCCAGCTTCCAGAGTGGGTGGGCTGTCAGGCCTGTGCTGGCTCTTCCTCCCTCGGGGACAGTTTGGAGAAGGGTGTGTCCGAGGAAGCTCCATTTGCCTGTGGCTGAGGCTCCCTTTGGTGTCTGCGGGGCTGGTGGTGGTGGTGGTAGGCCTGGGAAGAGGTTACACCCTTCAGAACCCCAGCTTTGAGGAGCCCCTGGCAGGCAGGAAGGTGAAGCCAGTGAATAGGCACAGACCCTCTCCCTCCTTCCTGGGGGCAGTGCCTATCACCAGCATTCAGCCTGGACTTACTGTTCCCCTGGCACTGGAGAGAGGACTTGGGGGTGGGGGAGAGTGGCTCAGCCCTATGTGTGGAAGGGGAGGGGTCCCTGTGGCTCCCTTTGTCTGGGTCTGCCTCTGCCAGTGAGGGATGGTATTTTCCCTGGCGCTGAGCATCTGGCTGCCCAGAGCCCGCCCGAGGAGCAGCGAGCCCCGCTGGGCAGCTGTGGGCACAACACAGTCGGCTCAGCTTTCATCCACATCAGAGCCTGCCCGCCCCAAGATTATCCCCACATTCGAATGTGGCTCCAGCATCTCACTTGGTTTTGGCCTCCTCAGATGGACACTGAGCAGAGAGCTTGGCTGGAGGCCAGGAGTGTTGACTTCTTCGCGAGGGAGCCGACACCAGGAGGCACAAACCACAGGCCTGGAGAGCTTCTATAGGCCAGAGCCTGCATTCTGGATCTGGGACTTTGATTTAAGCGTTGAACCTTGGAGCCAAGAGCTTGGGTCTGAGGACCTCCAAAGGGGATCCCAGAGCTCAAGACCTCAGACCAGAAGCCTAGAGGGAAGCGGGGGAAGCCTGGAGCGTGGGCTGGCAGCGAGTCCCTTTGGTGGTTGGGAGCCCACCCCAGAGGCAGGTGGGTCAGGCCAGGTCTTGCTGTGTGCTTGTCTTGCTCACAGAAGTTTGGACTGGTCTCCTGATGGTGTGGCTGCTGGTGCTGTCCGGGGTCCCCAGGGGCAGGGTGCCTTCCCGCTGTCTGCCTTGTCCCTCAGAGCTCTGCCCTCAGGAACTGTGGGGGCTCTCGCTCAGCCCGTGGTCTGTGCCTTCAACTGCCTCACGGCCCCCTCTTCCTCCAGCAGAGCCCCCTTCCCAAGGCTCAGACCCAGGAAGACCTGCTGGTTCTGGGCCTTCAGGAGCCCTGAGGAGCCTTGGCTGGAGGGTTCTCGTGGCTCTGCCTCTGCATCTTGCTCGCTCTGGGACCCTCTGGGCATTGCCCCCTCTGCTACAAAGTGAGCATCCCTGTCTTCTCCATCATCCAGTGAGATGGCCCAGGATAGGGCCTAGCACGTAGTATTTACTCAGTAAATTTGGGTGCGTGAGTTGGTTGGGAGTGGGCTTTCTTACACGGCCCTTTCCTCTGTGTGTGTGAGCCATTTCCGTTCTTAGTCTCACAGAAGCAGCTCTGTGAGGAGGAGGCTCCCATGGGGCGTCACTGCAGAGGCCCCGCTGGGATCGCCGGTCCAGGCCGGCCGGCTGCACTCCTGCCTGGAAGGGACCAGGGAGGGGGGTTTCCCTCTCTGAGTGGGAGGCCAGGCAGGCTGGGCTCTGGGGTGGGACTGCCCTCACCTCACCTGCTCCTCCTGCCTGGAAGGTCCTACAGAGGTTGAACCTCCAGCTGCTCATGGAGGGCTGAAATGAACCCTCTGCTCCCGGCCTGGTATCTGCCCATTCCCTTTCCAGTGGCCTTGAGAGGACAAGGCCACCAGGATGATGCTGCCAGGGGTCCGCGTGCATGTGTGGGGGCGCAACTTCCAGCAAAATGGCACTGAATCCCCCCACCACAGGGCCACCCCTTTCCTTAGATGGCAGGGTTAGGAGGCACGTGGCTGCAACGCTCCTGCTACCCACTTGGAGTCTACAAGTAGAAAAACGGACGCAGATAACAGCCGAGCGGCCGGCAGCAGCCACGCGCGGACAGCCGGAAGTGCGAGCAAGGCCCCTTTGGTCAGTGGCAGCCACGGAGGCCCGGGCTTCAGGGAGACCCCGGTGGGTGCCCTTGGGGTCGCCTGCCTGGTTTCGGTAATAAATAACATGAGGACCCAAAAACCAAACCAAAACAAAAAATAGAACCAGTATCTTTTGGGGCGGGTGGTGGGGGACTGTTTAAATTACGGGCCTTCCCCGGGCCGCGCGGCGGTGCTGGGCGCGGGCGGGCGGGCGGGCGGGCGGCAGTCACCGGCACGTGTGCAGCTCCACCAGCCGCTGGCACTGCCGGCACTTGACGAAGCAGCACCAGTGGAACTTGCAGCTGCAGCGCTCGGCCAGCTCCACCTGTGCCGTGTGGAAGCCGCGGCCGCAGCACAGCAGCTCACAGCCGTCGATGGCCTTGGAGGTCTTGTTGCAGGTGCGGCCCCGCGTGCCCAGCACCCCGCTGCGCACGTCCTGCTCGCAGAAGTCCGGGCTGGGCTCCAGGTACACCAGGTCCTCGTCGGTGTGCGGCTTGAACTGCGCGTTGCGCGGCACCAGCGCCCGGGAGGAGCCCACGCGGCGCGGCTCCACCTCCGTGGCGCCGTCGAACTTCTCCTTCAGCGCGTGGCCCACCTGGCGGAAGGGCGGCACGGCGCGCCAGCAGGTCTTCACCTCGCAGGAGCCCGACACCCCGTGGCACTTGCATTCCACCCGCATGTGCGTCAGGATGGCCTGCGGGGGGCCAGCAGGGGAGAGAGCAGAGACAGATGTCAGGGGAGGCTGAGGAGGGGTCGGAGGAGGCAAGGCTGCAGAAGCGGAGAAAGACGCATTGCCGGGCTCCCTCTGTATTAAGCACCTACTGTGTGTGTGTGTGTGTGTGTGGTGGGCTGGTAAGCTGTGCTGGGGACAGTTAAATAATATACTGGCCCTGCTCTTGGGGCACTTACAGTTTCAGGGGAGAGACATTTTATTTTATTTTTTAAAATATGTTTTCATTGATTTTTAGGGAGAGAGCCCCCTACTGGGGATTGAGCCTCCTGCATGCCCCCTACTGGGGGTTGAGCCTGAAACCTGGGCATGTGCCCTGACCGTGCCCTGACTGGGAATCTTTATGGGTTGATGCTCACACCGGCCAGGCAAGGGAGAGACATTTTAAAGGCCAGTGTCATATGAAACAGCAAGTGGCAGGTGGCATGATGGGGAAGAACACACTTGCATTGAATCTGCACAGGAACCTTGAGTAGGTATTGGGAAGGCAAGGGTATCTGAGAGAAGCAATGACCTTTGCTATGACACAGGATTCAAATCCTAGCGTGCTATGTGTTAGGGGTGTGCGTGTGGCAGAGGGATGGGACACACTCCTGTGCACATCAATACATGGTGGGATGTGTGTGCTGTGCAGGGGGCCACTCTCTGCTCCTGCTCCTCTGCCTTCCCGGGAAGGCCTGGGCTGGTGAGAGCCTGAACAGATGTTTTCTGGGTGGCATGTGGGTGGGAGAGTGCTTCAGGGACCTTCCTGAGTTCGCCCCTGCCCCAGGGTGATGGGGGGCAGAAGAAGTGCCAGCTACCTTCCTGCCGGCCTCGTTGTTGTGGAGGTTCATGAGGGCCCGGCTGGACGAGGCCCCCTTGCTCCTCTCCCGCACGTCCACGAACGACTGTGAGAAGGCCACGCCGTAGGCGATGTTGTCTGAGCATCCCGACCACTGGAAGCCTGGGGCGTGGGGCAGATGGGGCCACGTGAGTGCCGGCCGGGCCCCTGCTCTCCCACTCACGCCTCCCCACCTCCCGCACTCACCCTGGGGGCTGACCCCGTGCACTGTCCGGTCACAGCCGCACTTTTCCAGCTCCCCGCTGCTGCACGCCCGCGTCACCGCGAAGGCCACACCTGCCGAAGAGATGGCGTACACGAAGGCCGCCTCCCGAGTCCCTGTGGGCGGCAGAGGGAGGGCAGGCTGGGTCCCGGGGCTCCTCCCCACACCCTCCTTTTCAGAGGGGGAGGGTATTTGGGACCTGAACGCCGGAGGCCCTGGAGAGATCCACCTTCCTTGGGCCAGGAGGGACACTGCTGGCCATCATTCTCACCCCGCGGATGCTGAGGACACTGGCGGCATCCAGCATCCTGACCGGTGCTGAGTATGTCGGCCTCACAGCGCCTGTGAGGTCAGCACTGCCACCGTCGCCATCCCGCAGAGAGATCAGTCAACTTGTCCCTGGTCACACGGTACCCGGCTGAGCAGGCAGACAGACCAGCGTCATCGCTGTTAGCGTCTGTGGGGTTACTGCCCTCACAACCCCTGCAGAAGGCTAGCAGTGTTCACATCGTCATCTTCGACAGAGGCTCAGAGAGGAGAACTGACTTACCCAGGCGACAGGGCTGTGACATGGCAGGCTCCCTCTAAGACCAGAGTTCTCCCAGTGCCTATTGCCCAGCTCTGAGGCGTCCCCTGTCGCAGGGTACTGCCCGAGCCCTTCCTGCTCAGGCTGCGCTCGTCCCTGACTTCCTCTTGCTTCCTTATCTCTAAGGGTAAATTGTAACCACAGTGGCCGCTACTCCACCTGGGGCCCAGCCCATGAGGACAGGCCCTCCTCCCACTGACCCTTTATCTGTGCCCATTTCACAGAGGGCACAGTGTAGGTTTGGGAGGGGAGAGATTTGGTCCTAGCACCAAATCTAGGGGGGAAGTGACAGGAGCAGGACTCAGACGCAGTCCGTCTGCCTCCGGGCCCGTCTTTCCCTTCCGCCCAGAATTTCTCAGAGTTCTATTTTGGTGCCTGCCCTCGCCCCCTGCCTGAATGGGTGTTTTTATCCTCCTAGGAACTGTGCCTCGGGGTGTAGCTTCTGTGGAGCCTCTTTCTGGGGTGTGGGTGGTGGGAGGGAGTGTGCCTGTGTGTGTAGTACAAGTGTGGTGCGTGTGTGCATGGCTGGCCGAGAGTGTGACCAGACAGGCCCAGCTCCTCTCCTGGGCCCTGTGAGGGCCTCTGTGTGCCCGTGACTGTCCTTCTGTCTCTCGCTGGAGCGTCTGTGTCCGCAGGAGTGGAGGGGGCAGGTTTTGGCCCCGTGGTTGGCAATTACCTCTGCGACACCCAGGCCTGCGCGCTCGGCTGCCCTGGGGAGCAGTCGCCGTGGTCAGACGGAAACAATCACCTCCTCTGTGCCCGTGTCTGTGGACGGGCAGCAGAAAAAGCTGAGCTGGGGTGGGGGCAGCTCAGGCCCTGGTGGCTCAGCCCCTGAACTGGGGATACGGCCCACCACCCGCTCTCCACTGCCCGCCCTCTGCCCTGCCCTGGCCAGTTTGGGCCGGCATCAGGGGCCTTGGCTGGGGCCACCGGGGCCTCGACAGCCCGAGATAGAATCCTCTCCAAGTTAATCGAGGTTAATAGCAGGATCATGTTGGTTGGTTTTGTGCTGTGGCCGCCCAAAGAGAGACGACTTTAGTTTCTGGTATTTCTGGTATTTCCAGGCCTGAACCAGCACAATTCTTTGCCCCACAGACGGGGGGGAGGAGGGAGAGCAGGAGATAGGGCCATGGGCCCCAGCTCTGGCCCCCTGTGGTCCTCTCTCTCCCTTGCTTCTCCGGGCTCTCAGGCAGCCTGGGCCCACCCAGCTCTGGCCTCACCGCTTCCCTTGAGCGCTGCTGGCCCTGGGGTGCAGGGCGCCCGGAAAGGCTGCTCCGGGAGACCTCTGCCTCATCCCCCAAACCAATACCCATCTGTCAGCCAGGACTCTGGGCCCCCTTGCTCTAGCTTCGGGACAAAGATGCTCTGGTTTTCTCGCTTGGGAGTGGGCCTGACGGAAGAGATTCCGGAAGGAAGATAGATTCTGGAATCCAAAGAGCTGAAGCTTAGAGGACGCGTACTCTGTGCTGGGCACTTAGCACTTGACATAATTTGTATACTCTTCACAACATCTCTATGAAGAAATCCCCAGTTTCCTCATTGTACAGCCGAGGAAACTGAGGCACTGAGCGGTGAAGCAACTTGTCCAACAAGACCCAGCTGGGACGTGGCGGAACCGAAGCCTGCAGTCAGGCAGGGCTCCAGCGCTTTCAACCTTGATGCTATCCTGCCTCTGGGCGGAGCCCCTGGGAATAAACACCAGCCGCTCTCGCCCGGCCTCGTGGCTCAGCGGCTCAGCATCAACCTGTGAACCAGGAAGTCATGGTTCGATTCCCGGTCAGGGCACATGCCCAGGTTGCCAGCTCCATCCCCAGTGGGGGCCCTGCAGGAGGGAGGCAGCCTCTCATCATTGATCTCTCTATCTCCCTCTCCCTTCTTCTCTGAACTCAATAAAAACATATTAAAAACAACAAGAACAAGAGAACACCAGCCACGTTCTTACCACCTCCCCGCTTCTCAGCACCGGAAGCCAAGAAGGACTTCCCTAGGTCTACCCTTCAGTCTCACGTGCTGTAGGACAAGCCCGGTTCCTTTCCTGGGTTCTTACTGGCGGTGGTGAGCCACTGGCCCCTGTGCTCAGCCCAGGAGGCCCCAGAGGCCTGGAGACCGTGGCCATGCCCCAGTGCCCCTAACGCCGGTGGCAGTGGCTCCTCCAGCTTTTTCTCCCAGCCCATTGCCTCTATTGCTGCGGCCCTCTCGGCTCTGTCTCTTTGTGGGCGCCAGGCTGGAGCCTTGCTGACTAGCGGGCACTTGGTAGCGACTGCTGAGAGAGGAAACGGATTGCAGGGCCTGCGAGTGCAGCAGCAGGGAGCTCCCAGCCACGTGGTAGATAACTGCTGCCTGGGAGGGCTGGCCTGTCCCAGCTGCGGGGAGAGACAGGCCTGGCTTTGTCCTCTGGGGACAGCAGCGCCGGCCCAGGGTAAGGCAGGACTCTCCCAGGTGCCAGCAGCCGCCCTGCAACCGCCTGCCTCTCCCATAGAGCCATCTGCCACCCCACACCCAACTCCTTTCTTCCTGCTTTTGCTCCTTCCCAGGGCACCTCCTCTGCCACTGCCACTGCCACTGGTCTAACTGCCGTGTGCCCTCCGGTCCCGCCTCAGCGCCATCTTCCCCAGGTGCTGGGTGCCTGGGGCTGGGAGTTCAGAGCTGCCTGGTGGATCCAGCAGTAGCTTCCCGATTCTGAGGGGCCTTTGCATAGGCTGTCTACGGCTCACAACCGCCTTAGCAACCAGCTCTGCTCTCCAGAGGAAAAAGGGAGGCCCAGTGGCCCGTCTGGGGTCCCCCAGCCAGTCCGTGGCCCAGAGGGAATTGGAACAAGACCCGTTTGACTCAAGGCCTGTGTTCTTCTGAGCACATCCCCTGCGATGCCTCTCCCAGGTGTTGGGAGGAAGTGCATGCTGGCGGGAAGGAGGGTCTGGAGGAGAAGCAGACGAGGCTGAGTTGGTCTGGAAAGGAAGCCTTGGGCATGGTGACCCCCCGGCACCAGGTGTCCTGGTGGAAGTGCCATTCCCAGCAGAGCTCACATGTGCCCAAAGCAGACTCAGTGGTGGTCCGAGGGAGTGGGCAGGACTGGCACTGGTCTCAGAAAGACAGTCCTAGCGTTCTCCACTCTCTCCTTGTCCCTGCTCCAGCCTGCCTTTCCAGTTCCCTGCTCTCTCTTTACTAAAAATAAATATAAATATTTTAAATTGATTTTATTTTATTTATTTTTTTTTTTTTTATTGATTTTGTACAGAGAAGAAGGGAGAGAGATAGAGAGTTAGAAACATCGATGAGAGAGAGTCATCAATCAGCTGCCTCTTGCACACCCCCTACTGGGGATATGCCCGCAACCAAGGTACATGCCCTTGACCGGAATTGAACCCGGGACCCTTCAGTCCCCAAGCCGACGCTCTATCCATTGAGCCAAACCGGTCTCGGCTTAAATTGATTTTAGAGAGGAAGGGAGAGGGAGAGAGATAGAAACATCAATGATGGGAGAGAATCAATTGATTGGCTGCCTTCCCCATACCCCCACCTGGGAAGTAAGGCTGTAGACCCAGGCATGTGCCCTGACCAGAAATCAAACTGTGACTTCCTGGTTTATAGGTCAACGTTCAACCACTGAACCACACTGGCCAGGGTCTTTTGCTTTCTTATCTGCAAAAACTCACTTTTTCTTGAAATCAACCTGTGTCTGAATCCTGACTCTATCACCTCCAGGAAGCCTCTTACAGGGGGAAGCGGAGAGGCCTCGGGGCTGGACAAGGCGTGTTGACACTCTTCCTATGGGGTGACCTTCCTCTCTGAGCCTCGTACCCCAATTGGAACTGGGAAATCCTGCTGCCCTCAGGCAGACCCTGCACGTCTCCCGCACTTCCCGCCCGCAGGCATTGCCCTCCCTGGCCTGCCTGTGCAATCAGGACTGGGTCACAGAATGTTTTATCTTCCACGTGTCCCGTGGGTTTGTCTGGCCTCTGCAGCCAGGCTAGGACCAGGCTGTTCCTCATACTTTTCCTCCAGCCCCCAGCCCCCCGCCCCCAGCACAGGCTGGGCACAGAGCAGGCCCCTCACAGACGGGGTGGGGTGGGAAAGTGGCGATCGCTCACCAGGCAGGCCTGAGATCGAGTCCTGGCACTGCCACTCCCTGACGTGAGCCGAGGCTCTCTGCCCATAGCACAGGGCTGCTGACAGCACTGACTCGGCAGCTGGCTCTGGAAATCCAGGCAGGTAAAGTGGGACTGTGCTCCGTCTAGTAGCTGGCTCAGAGTGAGCGCTCAGGACACAGTAGCTATTGCGAGGCTATTGGTGGGTGATTGGTGCTACTTTACTCCTTTGCCAACAGTGTCGGTGGGGCACCGGGAGGCCAGTCAGCTGACGTGCCTTTGCCTTCGGGCAGAGACCCTTCCTTCCTGCTGCCGCCTCACCCGCCGCCGTCACCGACCACCTGCTGTGAGCTGGGCCCGTGCCAGCCCTGGGGCCCCCGGAGGTGAGTTCAGCCTCCGGGAACTCCCAGGGGCAGGACGTCCCAGAGATTATCTGATGGCACCG